CTATGCCTTCTCCAGCCCTGAAGATGTGCTTTGCCATGATTTGCTTGAGGATATGTCTGCATCTTTTTGGCTTGAAGCTTGGTACTTCACATCTGCCTATAGAGAATCATTTGCTGAAAAGGTCAATAGGATCATTTTTAATCTAGGGCTAATGTTCTTCATTCTGACCTGCCTATAGCCATCCTGTGATCCTTCTTTCTTCCCACTGATTCTGGGGGAGATTTTTGCTGGCAGTCACTAGAGCTTAATAGTGGTGATGCTTCCTTCTCCTATATGACCTTTGACAGCAATAATTAGGAGTGCATCCGCAGTGCAGTGCCATTATACTGGAGTTTGCTGTTAAAAGTAATCTGACTTTTGTGTGTGAAGCACACATGTGTAATGTGGATGTTGTGTGAACAATGCATACTTTACTTGGTAATTTCTCTTGGGTAAGTATCTGTGTTTTTCTGCATCATATTTATTTCAGAATTGTTTGCTTGTTCTGTCTGGTCTTGCACTTCTTGATAAGAATTTTTGCATAAGACTCTTCCTTCAGTCGTTCCTTTTTCCTTTTGTCCCAGATAATTTCACTGGGGCTTAAGACTGCAAGATTAGTTCTCAGGGACACCAGGAAAGGGAAACCTACCTGATTCTTTCAACTTCTATTATTATTTATACAAACACTTGTGTTTTTTGTCTTTTCAGGCAGAGGCCGAGGAGAAAGCGGTTTCTACCAAAGAAGTTTTGATGAAGTGGAGGGTGGATTTGGGCGAGGAGGGGGCAGGGAAATGCACAGATCACAGAGTTGGGAGGAAAGGTAACAGAACTCTAGCCCTTAAAGTTTTTTACACACATCTGTTCAGCTTCCATTTGTGCCTTTTGACTTCATAAAAACACTTTAGGAAAGGTAATTAGTTATATCTATGAGTAAAGTGTCTGAATTTCTAAGATGGAATCTAACACAGTAATGTTTCTTGAGGCTCTGGAGAAAGTAAAAGAACATTTCTTGTAAAGAATTTTTCTGCCGAGTTCCTGGGAAGAAGGAGCAAACTACTTTAAGAGAACATAAATTACAACAGTTGCAGTGGAAGTGCTGGTGCTAAGGATTTGCTTCAGTTTTAGTCTTGACATTGTTCAGTACTTAGGGGCACATTTGAAAACATACCCAGTTCCCAAGGGCCGTGTGTGTACTGATGCTCCTGAAAATTTCAGTTGTCACTTGGACCTCTAAAGGTACTGTCCATCAAGCTCCAATTTTAAAAAAGTTCCCACCAAGTAAAGAAAACCTACAAAACCTATGCCTAAAATGAGTTTTTGGAGTAGTTCCAAACCCTTATTTGAAACTTCTATTCTGCCTTTCTAGGGGAGACAGACGCTTTGAAAAACCAGGGCGAAAAGATCCAGGTATGGTTTTGTTACTGTGTGGGCAGAAAATGGGAGGGAGGAGCAGGGTGTGTTTGGGGGAAGGGACCTGTACAAATATCAACTTTTCTTATTGCTCCAGGTATATTATTGATACAAGATTCATGTGCCAGGTTGCTAAGTGTGTTCTCAAAGTGCTGTTTCTCCTACTTTGTGTTGTTCTTAGTATTAAATGTAGTAGATAAGAAACATGTGGAGTAAGAAGGTTCTGCTTATTTAATTAAGTTGTGATGTCTACAACTGGAACTAAGTTCCTATACCTCTGTGAAAGAAGCCTTTGCTGATGAACAGGCGTGCTGTGGTAATACGCCTTTAATCAGTGCAGCTTTAAACATTCCTGGTGTGGGCTGTTTTGGTACTCAGGACTTCTTGACCATTTGAACTTTAATTTTTTTGAACGCTTACTAGTGTGAGAGAGATCCCAGCAGTGTCCTGAGGTTCCCATGCTGATGGATTTACTGTTGATCAAATTAGTTAAGTCATCATCTGAACCTCCTGTTCAGTCTGGTTATCTGCTCTTCTGTCTCTTGTTCCTCCACTATTCTGGTTCTGAAATGCTTCATACTGGCTTAGATGTTCTTTAATTGTGGCCCAATACATCTGAACATCCAACCAAAATTGAGTTGGAATGGGTTTGTCATCTTGAAGATGAAACAGACATTCTAAGGGTGGTGAGAACATTGGGGCAGCTCTGGCTATCTGGGAGCTTCAGTGACTTTTGCTGTGTGAGCTCATCTGTTGCTTGTTCTTTGGTACGCCCATTCTCTTTCTCCATGGCATGTTTCCATGTGCATGGAGCACATCTGTGCCTGCTGAGAAGTTTTCTACTAGTAAGAGCTTACTGATGATGTGTCTTCTCTATTTAGGACCCAAGGAATCTTTGGCTTTGCTAAAGGAGTTTTGGCTTCATATCTTCCTTGGTAATATGCTGAGAAAGCATAGATTAGAAGAGATAATTGCAGGTTGAATTTAAAGACAAACCCAAGGAGATCTAATTGCAATTAGAAGTTAACAGGAATGTATTTTAATCCCTGTGTAGCTGTTAGTATTGCATTAAGAGTAGCATAAATTGCCATATTTATAATTTTGTGTTATCATGCTGACACATGCCATAGGAGTTTTCTTTCAAAGCCCTTCCAGTCTTCTCTCTGTATAGGAATTGATACTCACAGCTTCTAAAGAGTACTATTTTTTTTCTGCTTGTTAAGTTGAATGTTGACACAAAATTAACATGTGTATGTTTTCCACATTATATTCTGCACAAATTATCAAAATAATTTGATACTGGTCAGAGATTGAGCAGTTTTAAATGTCAGTAGTGACACTTCAAACTTTCTGTGCATCTTTATATTTAGAAATTTTTAAAGAAAAAATGAAAATAGGATAAAGTAAGTACTACTGAGATTTCAAGACTTCATCTTTTACAAAAGAAAAATGGATGTAGAGGTAGTATCTACTACAGTTGATTTATTTATTTAGCTCCTTGATGTTGTGATTAGAAATACAGCTATTCCAGTTTCAGGCTATAGAATACACCACATTTCTGATAAAGATGGAAAAAAATATTACATATTGGTATAGGATCAGATGTATTTCTCAGTTGAAATTGAGGACAATTTACAGAGTGCAAAATGTCCTTATAGAAGTTGACTTCTGCCAGAGGATAATCTGCAGCTAGTGTAGAGCATTTTGTGTTTATAGCAACTGCTAGTGATCAGGGCTATTGAATGCATCTTCTTCCATGAACTGTTCCCTAGGGAAGATGGTGTCCTTGATGCAATTTGTTGGAAGCTCATTGTGAGAGATGAAGTGCTTATTCTCAAATTATGAAGCTTTTTGAGTACCTAATTGCAATTCTTTAATCTCTTGTATTTCTCTGCTAGTCAGTATGAGGCAAAAGACCTTCAATCTTTCTGAAGTTTCGTTATAAAAATACTGTTTTAACTATGGCATTGCTATGTTAGAGGTTAATGTTGCAGTAGGTGGGAAGACCATTTCTCTCCCCTTTACTTCCAAAGACAGATAAGGTGGAGAGCACAGAAATATTGTCAGAAAGTGTTGGTCGATTCTGACTCAAGCCTTGGTTAATTACAAGTAGTTACTGTTATGTAGTGGCTTCCCAATGACAAAATATTTTGAGTGTGAGAGAAGGATACAGATGTGCCAAAAGAAGTCCCAGGTTAATAGCAAGCACTAGTATCCACACAGAGCTATGGAAGCAGAAAGGAAAGGACATTGACATACAGATTATAATTCAGGATCACACGCTTTACCTGATGCCTGAACTGGTTTCTGTTTCCTTGGTTAAACTCCTTAGTTTAGGATTTTATTCTACAATTTTACCATACTTCAGTTTTTCCTTGCTGTTTCATAGGGCCTTGGATTCAGATTACATAATTTACTGAGTTGCCAACTTTTTCATGTTCTTTGTTGTGGATGATCCCATTAGAGAATTATTAAGAGATCAAATGTTTTAAACATTTATGTATATTTGTAATGGAGAACACTGCAAGAACCCTCAATTAAAAATCAAAGAGATTAAAAAAGTAATAGAAATTTAACAACTTCTCAAATATGATCAGTATGCTGTTCTTAAAAATTAATGATTGCTTTTTAAGTGGTCACAACAGTTTGAAATGTCACATTTGACTGATTCTCAGCATAAGCAGTATCTGTTCCTGGTTTCAGCATGCAGATTGAAGATGCACAAAGTATTTGCAAGTTTCTGTTGCAGATTGTCACAGTTTTGACAGACTTCATTTAGAACCCAGATTGTTTCTGGAAGGCTGAGGCCATTAGCAAAGAAAATGAGCAAGTTGCTTTCTTGCACATGTCTGTCTCTTCACAAAAGCTGCTTAATTTTCTGTGCAGCCACCTGACTAATACCAGCTTAGTAGATGAAGGGATTTGATTAGTTACCAGCAGTTACAAACTGAAGTGAATAATTGTTATGTAATTGTATGTTATGAAAAATTGTTAGTAAGTTAGTAAGTTGTAGAACCTGGTTGAGTTTTGTTTAATGTGTGGGTTTTGGTTAGGTTCAGAAGACTTGAATATAAAAGGTGTGTTCAAGTTCCTATAAAAAGGATGTTGAATTTCTTTTAATTGTACTTTCCCTCACTCTGCTTGTCTTGTTCTCCTGCCATGCCTTGCTTGCAGGAGGCGCATTCACAGAAGGTTCATCACCAGTTTGCTCTTACTGTGTTAAAGCATGGAGTTGGTGCATCAGAATCCATTAGCAATTTTCCTAGGCTTCTACTCCAATTTGGACCATAGCATATTTCCAGTACTTTCAGACATCCATGATTCACCACTTCCCTGGAGCTGTAAAAGCAACTTTAATGTATTTTCTGCCCTTGTTGTGAAGTAACTGCACAGTTCTTTGTCTAATTTGCTTCTACAGTATCATTCAGCTTTGCATTCCAAAATCTAATATTTGAAGATTGCATTTAGCATGTACTAACAACAGATTTTTTCTTTATACTTGCTGTTTTACTCCCTTTTAAACCAAAACTATAAAGAGAATTATTTTAAAACCAGGACAACTATAAAGTATCAAGTCATGTAGAAATCAAACAAAACAGCTCACCTTTTATTAGATGAGAATTGAAATTAGAAATAGCTTTGTATAACTGTGGCTCTAAATCATGAGATTATAGTCCCATGTGATGTATGGGGAAAAAAAATGCCTCACCCAGAATACTGTCAAACAGAATACTCAGTACCTCACACAGAATGCTGCCCTATTTCAGCATTTATATGGTAGTCTGTTCTCCTGGTCTTGCAGTAGTTTTTAATTTGTAGGACTCTTATCAATGTCTTACACTGACAGAGAATGTGGAAAAAATGCAAGAAATAATTAAAAATTATTGGTGTTGACACATGGGTGGAAAAGGGCTCTTTAAACTGTGTATGAATAGACAACTAAACAAACTGTAATGAAAAGGGATGAAGGCAGTATAACTTGATAGTGCTGCTCTCCAAGCTCCACCATAGTCATGAATGCTTGTCCATAGAATTCAGTACAAAAAAGATTTTGGGAGTGTCTGTGATAAATCTGAAGTCTGCAATGGGGGAAGGCAGCACTTGAACTATTTTGGAATGAGAGCTCAGTTGGAGCAAAAATGCGGCCCTTCTACCTCATTCCCCAACTGTGTGTGGAATGCTTCTGTGGGGTGGCTCTCCATTTTCCCAAACCCTGAACCAAAGTAGCTTTTTTGCCTACCCTGTTTGGGTTATGAACACACTTCAGTGAACAGTTTTGTGACTTGAGAATTCAGTTTAAGCTACCTCATCAGATTGCTTGAGACCATTTTTCCTGCTGCTGACCACTGGGGTGAAGTTAAGAGGAAGTGTATTTGCTAGTGTCTTACGGTGTTGTCAATAAAAGTTGCTATTTATGCCATCTGGGTTTCTGGGAAAAGTATTTTACCTTTGAAAGGTAACTTTAATTTTACTTGAGTGTTCAGGTATGAACCCTTAATAGGCAATGCTTTTGTTAAGGGCTTGGAAATAGTTATCCATCACTGTGTTTTTCCTTTAGCATCTTAAATTATTTAGGAGCTTTAGAATGGCATCTTAGTTGCAGAAGGTTTATGAGGCACTTAAATACAGAAGTCTCATATATAGTTTGTTTTAATTTTTTATTTCAAAATTGATTCAAGTGTCTCTAAATATTTTTTGTGCGGTGTGTACAGGCAAAGATTGATGTTAGAAAGCATAAAATATCAATGGATGCAGTTCTACTTCTCATATATATAGTGCATCCTTCTGAGTCAGATATACTTGAGACAAGCAATGCAAAGGTGAAAACATGTGGAATGTATGGAGCTTTACAAAAACCCTCCACATTAATTCATTAGAAGCGGTCTTTTTTTTTTTTTTCCCCACTGCTGAATTTATTCAGTGTTTTCAAATAAGAAAAAATTTCTATTGCAGTATTTGTCATATACAACCAGATTTTTGGATAGTGTCTTCATAGACCTGTCTGGGAGTGAGATGTTCTCTTATTTAGCAGAATGAGGAACTGCACTTAGTATGTACAATTTTGCTTAGTAAGCACAGCTGGAGTGCTGTGCACGGTCATGAGAGGTTGGCAGGACTATCAGCCATCTGAAAAATGATGAAAGTCTGTATTCCCAAAGAGTTAAGAGAATAGAAAAGCTAGGCTCTTGGATGAGCAGAGTTACTTATACCAGAATTCATGTGTTTACTGAATGACCCCATATTATTTTCTCCATTTGTTTTGTTGTCCATTTTTTCACAAGCTGGTTAATTATGACTTTGGTCACCTTTGGGAATTTTGAAGATCTCTCCTTTCAGGGTCAATGTGGCTTTAATCGTAGTCTGGTGAATTCAGCAGATAGCTCTTCTAATTTCCCAAGAATTAGTACTGTGAGTGATGCACCTGACTTCAACCTGGATGGTTAATGCAGTGCCTCCTCAGTGGGCACACGAGTTCTCTTCACTCTGTATCTCACGTTGTAATGAAAAGGATGGGACTGCAAGAGAGATCACTAGAAGATGGCAGGGCAGGCAAGGAAGTGAGTTTTTAAGTGGAACCCGCAAGTTTAATGTAATAATAATTAAAAAAGCACAAAGTTCAAGGTCAATTAATTCTACTCTGTGAGGCCAGTCTCAGAGAGCTGGAAGCTGTCGGTATGCTGTCCATTGATGCGGATCTCCTTGTCAGTCCTTTTTGGACTCTTTGAGTCAGCTGCAGCTGGGAGCTCAGGAATAGTCTTGTCAAAATTCTCCATCTTGATCTGGTATTCACCTTTGGCATTGCGGGCTAGCAGGGAGGCAAAGCGGTGGTACACCAGGATCTCTGACGAGAGGTAGGATGTTCTCCTCTGACATGTTTCTCCTGTGCCCTCCTGCACAGCTGACAGGAAGACGACCAGCTCAAAATGGTGAGGAGCTTCTCTTTGAAGGAGGGCAGCCAGTGGGCTGGCTGCAGTGATGGAGTGGTAGTAGGTCAGTGGGAAAATGAAAAAAGGGCACTCATCTGCAGTGATGCTGTCCAGGTGGAAGTCAATGCTAGTTTGGTGCAGCTGCCCACTCTCTTGTTCTTGGTAAAGTATAGCAGAGATCTGGACGCTGGTTAGGGGGCTGGAGCGAGTGTTGGCCACCTGGAACATGAGGTGTGGCTTCCCCTCGGGGTGTGTGACCACGGCGAAGCGTGAGAAGCGGATGGAGAGTGCCCGGTTCTTTGGGCGCGCAATCTTGGCCACAAAAGCACCTGGAGCAGAAGAAAGCAAACTCAGCGTGAGCACAGGACCTGGGCTGGTTCCCTGCAGGGGCTCCAAGGGAGCAAAAGCAGGCTGAGGCTGGAAAGACCGTATTTGAAAACTGTTAGGTTGACACTGTACTAATCTGCTTTTTTTCAAAAAGGTGTAGCTTTCCTGAAATGCTTATTTTTCTAAATTGTGTTCACTTATTAATGTTTGGAAGTTAACTGTAGCTGCAAGGAGGCTGTTAGCTTGCCCCATGTACTGTAATTGGTAATTTGAATGTATCTTAGTATGTTACATTGTCAAAGCTCTTTCTAATATACAGTAAACTAACCTGTGTATTTTCAAATTATTTTGAATTACTTTAAACATGAATATTTTAAATAACTTAAATTACCTCAAAATAGCTGTGACATTGTAAAAACTTTCATTACAATGGCTACTGAGGAATACATAAACACTGAGTTAAAGATCAATGAAGATAGCTCAGACAAAAGTATACCTTAAAAGTAAAGAAAAAAAAATTGACTTTAAACACTGCAATTATATGGTAATAGCTGAGAGAGAGAATGGTATAAGAAATAAATGATTGAAAGTGATATGCCGTGATCTGCCACAAGTATTTTCTAATGAATGGTGAAATTATTAAATCCAGATATTGATAGCACCTAATTTGTCTTTTGATGATTAGAGGTGTTTAAATTTTAATACTACATAGCTGAAATCTTGTCATCCTTGTAGTGGCTAATTGTTCTTTCATATATCAGAATGAACAGTATTTATTTCTAACTCTATTCTTAAAACTAATTGTTACACCTGTAACAATTGTGTAAAGATGCAGTAGGAAGGATTACCTGTGAGGAAGGCTTCTAGCATGAGCCCTAGGACCATCTGAATTGCCAGCAGTGCAATAGCACTGGGACAATCCCCACTTGGGAACATGGTGCCATAGCCAATCGTGAGTTGTGTCTCCAGGGAGAAGGAGAAGGCAGCTGTAAAACTGGTGATGTACTTCACACATATAGTGTGGTTGTCAGGTGGAGCATCGTGGTCCAGCTCCAGGTCCCCATTCATCTCAGCCAGCAGATACCAGAGCACTGCAAAGACCAGCCAGTGAATGACAAAGGAAGCTGAGAAGACGAGCATCATCCACCTCCAGCGCATGTCCATGAGTATCCCCCACACATCTCGGAGGTACGCCACACCTCTGCCTTGGGCACCAGCCATTTGGAACGTGCTGTGCCCATCCTTGGTCACCAGCCTCAGGTATTTCTGAGTCAAGAGAGGAGCGCTGGATTTGGTGTTATTGCTCTCTATTGTATCTGTTGTCATCTTCTAGAAAGGAGAAGAAAGGAAAAAAGGTGATACAGTGCCACATATTTGTATTTTGCCTAATGTTCACAGCTTCTGACACATCAGCAGGGGTAGAAATACTGCAGCCAACAAAGGAGGGCTTATACATTGCAATCCAGAGAAGATTAAGTCAGGTGCCTGGAGAGGAATTTACCACTGTTTGTGGTAATACTTCGCTAAAAAAGATTAGGTCTAAAAATCTGACTACTACTCAAATTTTCCCTGCTTAGTTATTTAAATATAAATTTCATACCTTCCTAAATTTACATTGGAGTCACATGCTTTAATTCTCTATGGGTGAGTGGGATGGGATTAGGCATATTGTGTGTGAAGAGAAACTGAATTTTGCTGATTATATCTGATATTGTAACTTCTTTTGAGCGGAGTATAATAATTTACCAATACTATTATGAATACTATTAACAGTAGTATTATACTAAGGAAAGGATGTTTAATATATTATTTCTATAACATATTTATGCATTTTAGGGGAATGCTGTACTTCAGCTACTAGCCATTTCTGACTCTCTTAGCTCAAGAATTGTCTGCTGTCTGCACCCACCATGTCCAGTTAAACAGAATTACAGTATTCAGGGCAAAGCTGCTTCTGGAAGTCTGAGGCTGTTTATGTAAGGATCAGGTAAAAAGAGGGCAGGAGATCAATACAGAAAATACACTCTGACATTATTTCCAGTCTAGTCTGCCCGAGCAGTGCAATTTTTATTAGTGACCAAATAAAATAGGACAGCAAGCATATGGGAATTAAGGTGGAATTGCAGATACGGGAAGCAGATGGATACCTGTAGGTATTGGACATATTAGACTCTTTTGTTTGCTTTTAAACCTCAAAGCTTGTGGAATTTGCCAGAGCTTGTGAATGTCTTTTGACAAGACAGTGGTCACTCAAATACATGCATTTTATAAATTCTGGATGTTTAAAGCTGACCTGGGACAGATTAAAATTAAGTACAGTCTTGTGTAAAATAAAGACTTCATGATGTCTACAACCTGTTTAAAGAAGGTTGTGATGAAGCTTGTTTGTAGAGCAACAGAGGAATAAAAAAATCTGTGAATTCTGCAAATGATAATTATACATGGTGTATTTAGTTTTGATTTCCTATCAATTTTGACTTTGAGTGATGGCTGTTTCAGTCTATTACATTTTTTTGTAGAGGAATTGGATTTTTCCCTTCCAACAGTGCCATCTTAGCTTTCTCTTGAAAAGCATTAGAAGTAAGATCCTGAAATTCAGAATGAATTTATGGTAGGTGAAAATTTGTCTTGTGATCTTTGATCCCATAAACCAGCAGTTTGCATGACTGTTTGTTTAATCTTCAACCAAATTTTAGTAACTACAGAACACTCTCTTTTGCTTTTACTTGTGTTTAATGCCTACTGAGATAATGAAGATTGACATCACAGTGACCATTTAGTTAAGGTTTTGTTTTTCTTCTGTAGCTTCTCAAAACCATCCAGCTATTACTTCTATCCATGCCATAGTCAGGGGGAGATAAGAGTAGATAGATGATGGCCTGAGTAGAATTTAGTGGTTTTCCCCCTAGTTTTAATTTCCCAGTTCACATCTCTCAAGAGGAATATTTTGAAACCATTCATCGTGTCAGAGACTAGAGTGCACTTAGTGAAGTTCTCCTGGCATATGATACTAGGCTACTTGTCTTGGAGGATTTTGGTTGTAGTCCATCCAGTTTATAGCATGATCCCCCACCTTCAGTGAGTTGGTTCTTCAGTCTGCTGCATAGCTCCCTGAATGGCAGTTCTCACTCTTGCTGTACTGTAACCTGAATGCAATGATACGTGCTTCAGTAATCCAATCATTGGTGACTTGTCTGTGGAACACAGTGCTTGTGTTAAGATGAGCCTTTCTGGAGGCCTTGAAGGAGCTGGAAAATGGGCATCCCTGAATGGGAAGGATGATGGGGACCATGCTGAAAATGAGTTCTGAACAGTGCCTTGGTTTTATCATCTTAAAGTAAGCGGTACTCAAAAGAAACACTCCCTTGTTTGAACAGAGAACACTTGCTGAACAAAATGCTTCTGAGTGCATCATGCATTCAAAACTAACCAGCAAACCAACAAAAAACCCAAAACAATGAAACACAACCAAAAGCTTGTGTTTTTCTGTTAATTCTTGTGGTACTTTGAGGGCAGGATCTACTTTGTAGGCTCTAAGTAATTTGGGTTTACAAAACAAATACATGTTGTGAAAATGATTCTGATGCTGACTGATTGGTGACAGAAGCCTTTCCTGTGGTGTTATGTACATTAAGAAAAAAAGGAAAACATTCTTAAGATTGTACATTTTTTTTTTTGGCTGTGCTTCAGATCTTCATATGGGTGCTAAAGCAGTGTGTTTGAACACTACAGACTTAGAGCAAGTGTTGTCAGCATTGTAGGATGTCAGATTTATTGATTAAGGAGCTTCTTACAGTAGTGATTAATCATTTAATGTCTTAAACTCTGAAAAAAATCAGTCAGGTTCTTTGGGATTTTTTCAATGGGGCAGGATTGATACCTGACAGATTTTGAAGGCACTTGAGAAAGACAGCCTACAGCCGCACATTTCAGAGCAGTCTTGTGTCTCTGCTCCTTGAGACTCACAAGCAGGTGAATTTGCCTTCTGAGGTTAACGATGTTATGCACTGGTACAGTGCTCTGATTTTTCTAGTCTAGGACTGTTGAAAATGTTAGTTTTGTAGTTCAGTGGCAGGGAGAGCATTAGAAATGTGTAAGCTTAAGTTCCAAAAACCCTTTTTTGATAAGCACTTTTTTCAAGTGCTATGATGGATTAAGAGTCCCAAGTTTTAGCATCTTGGACTGAGAAAATCAGATAAGAAACTGCAATAAACTCTGAGAGTGGTGCAGGTGGGTGAGAGTAAGAGGCAAAAGAGCAATTGGGAAATAACTTACCCAGACTGGAGGATCAGTCCTCTGTATTCTCAAAGGCAGAGGCAGAGCGGATGTGACTTTAAGTTGAAAAAGTGTTAACGTCTTCTGTCTACTCCTTTCTTTGCCCATAGTAAAAAAATATGAATACCTTCTTTCCTTGTTAGTGATAAATTAATGAAGTTGTAGAGTACAATTTGAGCCATCTAGATTGAATCCCCTGCCTGGCATGATCCTTCATGACTCCACATTAATCCCAGTAATCAGTGTATGTTTTGGGAAAGGCATTTCAACTTCGACTAGAAAAATTCTGTGTTTGTTGGAGAATGCTTGTCTCCACTATAACATACACACACTGTTTCTTATCCATGTTTGTCCAGTATTCTCTCTCAACAGCCTTTATTTTACGTTATTTGCTTGGTTTTGCTTTTCCTGGTTCCTGACTTACACAGTTTTTGAAGCTTTGGGGTGTTTCTTGTCCCTCTATCTCTTAGCTGAAAGCCCTTGACTAGAAAGACAGGAACTGTCAGAAATCCCTTTCCTAAACCTCTTCTGGCATGCTGACCTTATCACACATTTACTGTGTCTAATTCTTCCTCTTTACCTTCTCTTGAAAGCTGAATTATCACTAACACCAGTGTTTCTATCAGTTCTTAGTGGTTTTTTTTTGGTTTTCAGTCTTTTTATCACCTTGTCCCTCATCCTGGCTTCTTTCTTTTATACACTTCTCTAAGACAAATCAAGGTATGCTGAGTACTAATTTTTAAAACAATCACAGATTCCTTCTTCAGCAGTGGGACACACTCTAAACTGACCTGTCTGACTAATGATTTATGTGTAATAAAACCTTGCATTACAGGTTTAGGATGTTGCTTGCATTTCTGAAATTCATGATATCCAGCACACCAATCTCCCATGCTCTGCGTTTTTGATTGAGGTTGTCTTCCTTGTGTCGTAACAGCCTTTACTGTGTTCCTATTCCATGTCACCGTGTTGATTTCCTTTCCTCTTGCTTAGCTTTTTCTTAGGACTCTGGTAGGGAGAGTCCTCTCTGTCTTTCCTCTGAGGGATAGACACTGGCAGCACTGTCTTCATTTTTGTTTGCTTTCTCAGTTGAAGGCATTCAAAGTGACACTTCCAGCCTGTTCTCAGTTCGATACGCAAATGCATCTGCAACCTTCTGAGGAGCCCAAGTGAGGAGTTGTGTTCAGGGCAGACTTCTGCAGTGTTGCTCTACTTGCCCAGGTTCTAGTCTTAACAAAGTCTGTTCTAATTGACCTTGGAAGGGATTTGTAACAGTTTATGCTGTGCTGCTTCATTCTGGCAGGAAAGTAGTCTTGAGAACCTGTTGTTTTCTGGGAGTGACTGCAAAAACTACTTATAATTGCAGCATCATTTGAAGATTTACTTCTGCCACCCAGGTGGTGGCATGCCCTTCTGGGGATGTGTATGTTCCCTCTTTACTTGGCCTGGGTTTACATGATGGTGTACAGGCTTCAGATTTAAAGCTTGTCTGCTCTGAGCTGAGATTGTGCAGGTCTGTTGCTGCCTCTGCGCTTTGCAGTAAGAACAAAGTAAGATTATAATTTTTAAAGGCATTTTTCATGCTGTTGAAATGGCTTTTATGTATGTTCTTACTTTTAGATTATTAGGACTTCTTACATTTATAAGCAGGTCTTTTTAAAATGGAAACTTGAATTTGTTGACCCCAAGTTACATTTTTCAAAGCAAGTGTCATAAAGGATAGGATGTGAGAGCTCGTACTTTTGAGTTTCTGTGACAGTTTATTACAGAATGCACTTTAAAGAAAAGAGGTGGTAAAATAGAAGAGTATGCCTCCTTTTATAGTACAGAAAACAAGGCTGCTTATATACTAGATTTTTGGGACGCTAAATAGTGCTCCATTTTATATATAATGTATTTTGACATAAGTACTCTGAGGATCCATATGAACACTAATTCTTGATTTTGAAGTAGCACCTGAGTGGACCAACTAGTTTAGCCAGTTTTAGAGAAGCAGAAAAGCAACATTTAAGCAAAGTCTTGGTAAAGACTTTAAAATATTCTAGTATATATTAAATCCTTATAAAGAAACTTAAATGCAGAATTAAATATTAATAACAGAGGTGTAATTTGACAGTTACAAGGGAGGATTTTATTTGATGTAAAGCTGCAGTAGTGGAAGTGTGCTGCCAGACTTTTTTTGTGGAACTTGCTGTTTTTGAAGAGCAGTCCTGCCCTGTGTGATGGAGACTTTGCCATGGCTTGCCTAGAAAGGCTAGGTTTTGCAGGGTGGTGGTGTTCACTCCATGTCCGTATGTGGTGTCCTGGACAGCGATGCTGCCTCGCTATGTCCATAAGCACAGGGAGATGAATGAAAACTGTTGAAGTCTGAGATATAATTGGAGATGGTAAAAGCAAGTTTGAAGATGTGAAGCTTGTTTTTTTTAATTTGTGATGGAACTGAATGCTAAGTACAGCAAGGTGAGGATGACTTTTTCATAATTCTTGGCCAATTTCATGACACCAGCTGCTGTGGCTAGAGCTTGCAAGTGCTCCCTGTCTACACAGCCTTGCCAGCAATTATCTCAAAAACTTCCTGAAAAAATACTGCATAAAGACTGTGGTTTTGCTCTGTGTGCTCTTAGGACTGACCTGAGAGAGCATTTTTTTCCTTTTGAGGAGGAAAAATCAGCAACTGATTTGTTTAAGGTGATACCTAGTTTAGCAAGCTTTAGAAATAAAACCCTCTGCCCTGAAAAGAATTTTGATTTCTTTGATTAGAGTGACAGAACCATTAAAATTGTACAAAAAGAAAAAAAGAAGGAAAAAATATGATGTTTTTCTGTACTTACCAGTCCTCAGAGGGTCTTTGTGCAGGAGGAGGGGATAATCTGGGCTCCAGGAGAGGGATTGCTCTGGTCTGGTGTATTGGTCCCAGCACTAGCAAGAAACTTCCCACAAGTGGTTGGTAGAGATTTAAAAAAAAAAAACAACAAACCCCAAAACCTTTAAAAATGGGTTTGTATGTCTCATTCCTGTGTTTATATGCTGGGGGGATTGGTTTCCATCTGAAGCTGATTTGATTGGTCATTTTGCCTGCAGGGGGGCCGGTTGGCTCTGATCATGTGGAAAAGAATGCTGGTTTGTTAGGAGCATTTCTTTACCCAACACAAACCCTTAGCAGCCAAGGAGAAATCCTCAAACACTTACTTTGAGAAGGGGTGCCTTCCCCCTCAGCTCCTTAATCAAGATAATTTTTTTGGTTTGTATAACCTAAAGTTTTATGTGAAAGTTGAAAAGGCCAAAATTCCCTTGGAAAAACTGAGTGGAAAAGTTCCCATATTGCTGCTGAAAACCTACACTGTTCACTGATACCTTTTCTCTAACCAGTGTCAACTACTGTTTGAGTGAAGAGAGACACTCTTGTGTCTCACTGCTGCTCCACTTCTTTCCTGTTAGGTCCCAAGCTCTGGAACATTAATAGAAAGGTGGGTGCAGTTCATGGTGCAGCCTGTGGTCACAGGACGGTGTTGTTGAATTGCAGTCTAATGCTGCTCAGAAAATGTAGACCTGGCCATTTTCATCTCCACATTGCTCCTTTGTGAAAACATGGAATTAATCACAGGATTTTGCTAAAGCCTAGGAATGAAACAAGGCAGATTAGGTGGCTTGCTGATTCCATGCAGCAGATGAAACCACTTTTGCTTAAGCTGTTTGCTCTTTCACTCATGAAATTAGAGGAGCTGTTGAGGGTATGTCTGAGCAAGCAGCTGTGCAGAGTGGTCAGTGTGTGCTTCCCTGCTGGACCAGCTCTGAGGACAGCTCTGGAACACAGTACTGGTTCCCTTTTTTTTAATTTTTTTTTTATCCCTTGGTGAGCTGCTGATGTGAGGGCTTTGACCAAACGTCAGATGTAAGAGGATCTGAGAAACAAAGGCTGTGGTTGTTTGCAGTAAAACTACTGAAGGCCTGCTGGGAAAATCATTAATGTAGACTTTCCTGCTTAGGAAACAAAATCCTCCCTATTTTTTCTTCTTTAACCTTCCCCCAACCCTAAATTGCAAAACATTAATTTTTTGCTTCATTAGTATGGAACGTTTTAATACATGTTCAGGCACGGCACTGAAAATTGATAGGCATATTGTGACTTTGAGAACCAGGGCAAGTAATGTAGTGCCAGGGGACTCCCACCAGTGTGACAAGGCTGTTAGGACAGTGTGACTTGCCCTTCACCCTTCCCTCCACTGCACGCAGCCTCACTTAAACCAAAATCCTACTTGTGACTCAAACAGTATTTCTTAGAAACCATCTTTTGAACTGTAGAAATAATATGCTATGTGCTCACTGGTGTTCTAACCTAATTCAGCTGAATGAATTGGAAATTTTATACAGTTGTAACCAGGTGAAATAAAGTACAGTGTGTGTTTTTCTGGTGTGTTATGGAATTGAACTCTTGAAAATTCCTTTGAATCTATTGGCTCACACTGGTGACATTAGATAATGGCCAATTTAGTAAAAAAATATGGAGTTATATTTGGTATATTTTTGAGACCTTTTGAAATTGATATCTTCTGCAGAGAGATTAAAAATTTGAAGCTAGAAATGGGATTCAGAACTTCTGATCTGTCACTGGGAGTCACTTCATGGTATTTGTATTCCTTTGGTGGTCCTGGCATGTCCAGTAGTGTTCTAATGAGAAGGTAGTCCTTCTCTAGAAGCATCATCTTAAGGGCATTTATTCTTCTGTGAAATAAACTAAAAAATTACACATTTAAGCAAAGTTATTTCAGATCCTTTAAAAACACTGCCTGCAAAGGTTTTTATCTTCCTCTTGAGGAATTGTACAGGAGGCAGCAGAGAGAACAAGTTAAAGTACTTAATAGCCTCTCCTGGTTCTTGCCCCTCTGTAAACAGCAGTGCTGTCAGTCATCGCTTTCCTGTTTATTCTCTCCAGACAGTGAGCATGGCGTAGGAAACGTGGGCTGACAGCCTGGAGAACAGAAGTTATTTGCCATTCTGTTAGTAAGTCCTCTTCATAAATGCGCTGCCATGGGGCCACATCCTCAAATCCAGTCTTGTTCTCCACAGTCAGTATTCCTTCAAATCAGTGTTGCACAGCTGTAGGCTTTTCTGGCTGGATACCACCCGACTCTCTGAAGTTTTCTGTAAACACCATTGCTGGCTTTGTGACAGGCCTGAACAGAGGTGCCCTTTTACTGCTCCTTCTCTTCAGGAAGTCCAGTCAATTAGTCCAAGGCAAAACCATAGATTGCATTTTAGTTTTTCATCCTTAAAACACTGCCAAGTCCTGACTCTGTGATCTAAGTCATTTCAGCTGAAACGATTGTTCTCAAATCTAGAAACAGTTTACAAAGAATATGTTGGGACTTTGGAATTTTCACATAATCTGTATGAATATTCCTGTATTAATTTTGTTATAGTCTTTTTGTCACTTGTGTAGCTTGATTTTTCTGGTCCTTTACCTGTGACTGGTTTGTGTTTGTAAAGAACTAGTTTCTTGGCTGGTCTGTCTAATCTTCAGGATCATCTAATGCCAGACCTGTTTGGACACATAACTTGTTCTTTGAGTGATGCTTGCTATGATGTCCTAGTACCACAGAAATCTGAAATATGTCATGAGACGCTGCATTTTTTTTCTCTTAATTCCACTGAATGCGGCATCAGAACAGTCTCTGATGTGACACACTGGAGTGCTGCTGTGTTTGGAAAGGTTTTGGAACCACAGGTGATCTCATTCTCACATGAATATAATACTGACTCCTTATATTTGATTTCTTTTTCATTTCTATATTTCTAATGCCATAGAATTTAAAATCAAAAGAGGGGTAGGATCCCACTTAAGTCTAATCTTGGCAAACAGTTTTTGATGTTTTATAATCTCTATAGAGAAATGTTTCGAGCCCCATTTTCTGCAAGTTCAGCATACAAAACCTGACTTTGATAGTTCAGTTCTTGGGAACAAAATCTGCTGTCCTAAGGAATAACAGAACCTGAGTTGCCTTGGTTTGCCTATAACATGAGTAGATGTGTACTGGAGCTAAAACCTGGATATACAGTGGCAAAGCAGACTTCACAGTTTTCTTTAACTGACCTTTTTTCCTAAATGTTTTCGGAAGAGTGGAACAGAATCTGTGAGCTGAGAGCTTGTCTGTGTTGAAGAGCAGTCTCCAGAATCAACTGAACCTACAATAGACAGGAAGGACATCCCTTTTTTTTCATTAATTGGTAGAGTCTAAAATCTCTCACATTAATGTTACTGAATAAGTGTCAAGTAACAGCTGTGAGTTTTTATTAAAACAATAGATAAATCTGTAAAAATGTTACTTCCCATGTCTCAAAATAGTGATTTGAATAACTTCTTTTGGTAACTGTTTTAGTAATAGAAAATTTAATGTCTTGTGCTGCAAAATGAAAAAAATTGTATCTCTCTCTTCCTCTTTGTAGCATTTTAAAAATAAATTCAGAAAGAATAAGGCATTTGCCTTGTTGTCTGGGAATTAGGCTCCCCTGTGCTCTCTCCTGTGCACCTCTCTCTGTGTTTTACTTCCAGCTGACTCGGCTCTGTAGTTTGCTTTCTGCTTTTCTACTATGGGAAGCCCATCCAAGAAGCAATGATGAGAGGCTTCCTTGGACTTTTTTTACCATAGTCTGCATTATATTTTTAGATACCTAAAATTTTAAAATAAAAAAAAGAAAAAATTCCCAGACTTAGATTTCTGTCTGGCTTGTTATTTTCCTGTCTTTTCCATGAAGTGTGGGAAAACAGAATGTGTCTTGACCTTCATCTGCAGAGATTTATCCCCTCCAGATAAATGAAGTTGCCAGCATCACACTTACCAAATGAAGGGAGTTGAGGAGCCTCCAGTAATTTTATTTGGGATCTTACCAGAGACCCCCCCAAAATACAGTCTTCAGATTTTTATATTTTTTTGTTTGATTCTCAAAGCTCAGCAAATACAGAAGTGATCTTCAGCCAGATGTCCCCTTCAGTGAAGTAAAGGTGTAACTGGGTTATACTTGTGTTATAGATGACGTTGCCTGTTGGTGCTGGTGCTTAACTAAATTTAATTTAATTTAAATTAGGTACTGGACTTGAAATTAGCCAGCGTGCTTTAGCTCTTCATATAGGAACAATATGGGATAAACAATAGGGAAAGGTATTCCAAAAAAATTGGAGCTGGAGGAAGATAAAGGTGTTTTGAGATGGTGGGGAAGGGATGTCAGTTTTTCTCCAAGGTGCATGCAAAGCAGAGAGTCAGTGTGTGCTTCCTGTCTCCAGAGTGCAGTATTTCTAGCAGGAAGAATTTTCATGTTCTTAACAGAAACCTGATATGCCACAGAATTTCAGATCTTCTTTGTTTTCTCATCTTTTTCAATGACTGAAAAAATTGCCTGGTGCTAAGAAAGCATTCTCCTATGCTTCCTAAAGTAAATTCTTAAAAATGTCTCTTTCCACCCTAGGAGTGTTAGTACATGATCATGCTTTCTTTTGTTTGTCCTGTCTAAGAAAGCAGGCATGCTAAACAGACTTCACCAAATAACATCTTAAATTTTGGATTTTAGGACTCTTAAAAAGGAAGATTCAGTGTAGCTTTCTCTAGTAGTTGAAAACTTTTTTCTTTTTATAGATAACACCACAGTTTCAGGTTAACATTGGGTAATAGTACCAGTGGGGAAATGTGGTTCCTGTGAGAATTCTGGTGCTACACAGCTGAAGAAACTTACTTCAGTGATGGGTTATCTTGTCAGGGCAAGCCGGCAGTGAAACTATCTGTGTTAAGCCTTGGCATATTGCTGTATGATGTAGAAATCTTGGTGTATAATATGGAGTCTTTTCATAAACATAGATACATCATCCTTTTTTGAAAAGGTTGCCCTACCTAAGTACTTGAGGATTTTATGTTTTGTTTTAAATATAACATAATGTAAATTGGGAACTAAAAGGCTATCCTATCTCCTAAACTTCTAGTAGTCTTATCCTCCAGCTCAGTCATAATTGCTTCTAGCCCTTCGTACACTGACCTTGGCTCTCCAGAAGATGGATTCACAGTATAATGTTAACATTGCTAAGTTTTTTCTTTTTTATTCCTCAATCCTACCTTAAATTT